GACACAGTTCTTATGTTAATCACGTCAGTGTAATCATTCCTTGACCTTTTTCCCATTTCACTGCAAGTCACAGGCTGCCTACACTCAAGAGTGGGGTTTGCACAAAGGCGTGACTACCAGGAGACAGGGACCATGGGCCCACCTTAAAGTCTGCATCACAAATATTTGCCGAACAATTTACCCTGCCACAGGGATGTGGCATACAAAATATATACATGTTAAGTGGTTGTGATGAAGACATAAGATTAAGAAAGAGAAAACATACACATGTAAGTCCTATAAATAAAGTAAAATGGTATTTGAGTCAGAGGACAATTACTATTGAAGAATTGAAGAAAGATGAACGTGGGCTGGAGTAGTTAGGAAAGGCTTCAAGGAAGTGGAATTTAATTTCTTTGACTGACTTAGTAGAATTGTAAAGATGGGGAGAAAAGAAGAGGGTATTACAGAAAAAAAAAGAGATAAGCAAATATATTTTCCTCTCTTCTTTGGTAGCTTCTCACTCACACTAGAGATTATAGTCATCTCCCACTCTGAGCACCATGGAAAGCCTGCCATGATTCTTTCCCTCCATCCTCCTTTCCTCTTCCCTTTCATGTTTTCTTCCTTCTCTGAGTGGGAGAGTGTGTACCAACATGGCACCTCCCTGTTAAAAAAAAGGATGAGTGCTTGTTCTCAATACCTTCCACTGAATTCTGAATCTTAAAGCTATGCCCTCTATTCTAGTTTTACAGATTTCCTTTGCATAATTAAAAATGTAAATGTTAAAGTATTTTTAGTCCATAAAGAATTAATCAGTCACATCTCAAACTCCTCTCTCAGCTATACGCTGGTCTGAAAAGGCAGGTCTGAACTCAAGCCTGCAGGGCAGTGTGATCAGGGGGAGCTGACAATTTGGGAGAGGTGAGATTATGGACAGTGCTCAGTCATTGTTGTTTTTTAATATTTGTTTCCTGAGATTGTTACCAGGGGACCACTGGCCTTGTCTTGGCACTGTGAAAGCAAATAGCCTAGAAAAGCAACATATAAAATAAGCAGAAGCTCCAGAATATAAAGTATAGGTTGCAAGCTAGCAGGCAACAGACTTTTTTTTTTTTTTTGCTCACCTAGGATTAAAAAAATAAAACAAGCCAACATTAAAAATGTGGAGGGAAAAACTGTAGTTCTGACTCCTCTTTAAAAAAATTAGAAGGCAATGCCAGGCCCATATCTCTCAGGACAACAATCTTCTGGAATCGAGTAAGGGTCTCGACCAAGCATATTACTCCCATTTGTCACAGAGTATACGTGGATACCTCCAGGGCAGTGGGGTCTCCTTCACTCTTTAGGTAATCGCTCTGCGGGAATTGGAATTTGTCCCGATTATGAATAATATGCGGGCATATTACTTTCAAAGTTTTGTCCATACAACACCTGCAATGCTTTCTAACATACAAAAACTCCTGGGTCCTGCACTAGACTGACTGGATCAGGAGCTCTCCAGGGGCGCCTCAGTCAGTCAGCATTTTACAAAATGCTGCACTCTGGATGACACTCATATACAATGTGTGTGCGTGAGAACCACTGTTGTAAGGTATTTTTCCTCATTCACTCTACCTAAGGATTGTCATCCTGTGGAGCGCAGGTGCAGGACGGGCTCCAGTGCTCACCTGCCAATAGGACCGTGGCTGCAGTTAGCATAAATCGGTACATTTCGCAAAGTGCATTGCAGTAATCCAATCTGAAGGTTCTAAAGCCTAGTGCACCCCGTAATGTCCCTCTGACAGGAGAAAATACAATCCCCATGGGAATTATGGGTGGGGAAGATTAGAGTTCTATATTTTTATATTCAGGGTGATGATGTGCATGCCTGGACAGGAATCTGCATAGTGTATGATACAATCTACCTTTCCCTAATCCTGTCAGAAAAAATGCGAGATTGTTACTGAACCAAAACCAACTGTCTTCATTTAGTTTACACGCAAACACACACGCGCATACACACACACATGCACACACACAGATGTGTGTGTGTTTTAAGGAAAGTTCTAATTGGGCTACAAATACCAATTATAAGGGAGGCTAAGTGTTAATGTTGGACTTAACAGTCTGTGTGGATTTTTTATACAAAAGGCATCTCTATAATTCCCCTCCTCACCTGTCCCTCCTTTCTGTTGACTATTGTGAAATTATGATTTACTGACTCCTCATTAAGAGTTTTATTGTCTCACTCATCCATCTGATCAACTTAGGTAGTATATTTATTATAGTCCTCACAAAAAAATGAGTGACTTTACGTTGGCAGTGAACCTAAATATAAGTTGATTGTGGTGTGCAGCCACCAGTGCTAATGAATATTTAAAATTTCCTTTGGCTTTCTTGGCAGAAGACCTAACCAAGAACTTAGAGAGGTCTAAATGTGAATTATTGGCCTACTATAGACTGGCCTGAGAAGCAGTACTGAGCACCTGCAATGATTTCATCTCTTGAAGCCAGAATTTCACCTTTACACTGCCAACTGTTGTTCCCCAAGGTCTTCCAGTCTTTGCAAGTCACCATCAATCATGAAAAGCATTGCAGCTTGCTTTCCAATTTCAGCCCTTAGAGTGACTTTCCTAGTCTTGGTCAAGTTGATTGGCGTTCTCTAGAACATAGGAAGAAAAGAAGCAAAGAAAAGAAAGTGGACTAGTGGTCTCACCAGCTGCTCAAATTTGGAAATAAGGACAGAAGTGACTTCCAGAACTCATACCATGAAAAATATGGAAATCACCAAAATTTAAAATTAAAAACACTGAGTCAACTTCCTTTGTTGGGAGACTCACTTCTAATTAATCACAAATCATAGGAAGTCAGTTTTCATCAACAGTTTGGACTTCGCGAACCTAATAATTTTGGGATTAAAACTGTCTGTGCTTCATAAAAATAATAGAGAAATATTTCTAGTTAGACTTTTAAAATATGTTGCCAATCAAGCCTCCTATGATCCTCCTATTAAAAGCTATGAAGTATGCTAGGAGCAAAAAAAAAGCACAGCTGGAAAGATGGCAATGAGATCAATGAATGTTCACTTTTCTATGTCTTTGTCTTATTACTGTAATGATCCTGGTGCTTACACCATCACAGTTTCACGTAGAAGTAAGGAATTCTATAGATTGGGTGCTACATTGGGAAGCCAGTACTAAAACTTATCTGTTTGAACAAATATGTTTTGAAAGCCGGTAAGAATAGTAACCTGCCTGGCTCAGAAGTGTAGAGGGCAAGTTTTAAAGCTGCGCCCAAATGTGGGCCGAAGCCTCATGTCATCAGGTCGCACATTTTACAGACCCATTGACCTTTAATGTTCTCAGAGTAATTAGTTCAAAAGATTTGTCAGAAGAAGAACACAGGGAAGACAAGCTTTTATTGACTGGGAAAATAATCAAACTGAGTGCACTGACAAGATATTCCAGAAGCTCTAATGAAATTGATAGAAACATAAAGGTGATAGGGACCCACTCAGTAGATTAAATGGTGAAAGGCTATTCCATGTTCATGGAAGATGTTAATATTGTGGTCCTATACGTGACCATTTTCAATTTCACATTGTTAAGCCTTTGGAATTGTTCCAAATATGCGAATTATACAAAGACATACATTAGCTTGAAAATTTTATGTACTCTACTATGACAGACTTTCTCTTTCTAAGCTACTTCTCATAAATTACTTTACCCAGAAGTCCATGCAGCCAAAAGAACTTAGATACCCACTGAATAACCAGGGCAGTGTGTTTTCAATGAAGAGACCTAACCTTCCTTATACCTTCCAGCTTCTTATTCTGCTAGCAGCGTGGAGGGGAAATTTGACAAATATAAGATTTGGTCCTTGTCTTCAAGAAGTCTGAAGTCGTGTTGGGGAGTCGGTATATGCCTAATATTGAATAGCTTTCCTGATAGGATGCACCTTAGTGCTCAGGGGATGGAAGAGACCAAAAATGGCCAGAGATTTAAGGTCAATTTAATTTTGGTTATCTCTATTACTCTTACAAAATACTTTTTAAAAAAAATTGTATGATTTTATAATAGAGGGGCTTTGGAGTCTGATGTGTGCTTTACTAAGTGATAACAACATGGCATAGTGGAATGAGGGCTGGACTAAAAGCCAGAAAAATCTGAATTCTTGTCTCACTTTCCTTAACTGGGCAGCTGGGGAGCTTCAAAAAAGTCACTTATCTTTTTCTAATGTCAGTTTCTACATTTGTAAACGTGTGTGTGTGTTGTGTGTGTCTGTGTCAGAGAGAGAGAGAGATTACTGCCTTCTGCACCTATCTTATAAGATTTTTGTGAGAATAAAGCAAAATTCAATGTTATAAAAAAAAAAAAGAAGGCAACATTATTAACTAAATGGTTACATCAAACTACCACCTGAAGTTATTTTTAAAATGCTTTTCATTTATGCTGTGAGAGTTGCATTTTGTGTTTAGACCTCTGATAACTCATAAATAGGAACTTCATCTCATGGCATTATGAAAATAATACTGTGCATTTGTGAGGCTATATTGTATGGTATTATCTCACTTGATTGTTACAAGTATGATATTTAGAGCAAAAGTGATTCTTACATCTCTTTATATATATAAAGGAACTATAGCTCAGCAGCGTTAAGTGCCTTAGTCTAAGAAGGTGGAGGAGCTAGAACTAGACCCTGGTATTTCTGACTTTTAATGCAGTGTCCTTTCCAAAAAACTTTTGCTGCCAACACCTTGCCAGATTACAGAAAGGAAATGAGGCTTTTTAAAGAACTACGTAAAAAAGGAAATCTACAAATACCGCTCACCCTCTTGAATATCTGTCTGAAATAACGTCAATAAATTTTAATCATAAGAACAAAATGAAAACATATTTTAAATGCCCAGATATTGTTTTAAAAATTCACTTTCTCTTAAATAGCGTCATTTCACAGCAAGATGCCATTTTTTTCCTAGCAACTGCAAGTCACAGATTGTATTTCTGAAGGGTGTTCATTGTTGTCCCGTCTCCTTTTAGCAACAGATCAACTCCTAGCAACCATGATCGGATACAGCGTCTACGGCAAGAATTCCAGCAAGCAAAGCAGGATGAAGATGTAGAAGATCGGAGACGTACCTACAGCTTTGAACAACCGTGGGTGAGTATTTGGTTCTTTGGCACAATGAATAATCCTGCAGCTTCCTGTAGTAGAAAGCACTAAGCTATGACCTCAGTTCTTTATGAAAGGAGACGAGGTGGAGCCATATTCTTTTGACCTTTAACATATTGACCTTTCCCTCATTTCCATCTGGGTTTCATCATTGCAAATTTAATTTTATATCTTGTTGCACCATCTGTCCATTGCACAATAGATTTCATTTGCATTATGACAAGAAATAGCAAAAGTATTCTTGCTCTCAATTATGCATTTTTTAAATTCAGTAAATATTTTTCTATATATATTTTTTGCAGAATCAGAGCCAGAATAAATTAGCTCAACACATGTCTATCTTGTACCTACTACACACAAAGTACAGTATTTAGTACTTCTTATTCCTTTATTCTCCCTCAGCTCCTTTGTGTATTTGCTGAATCCCTCTCGTTTATCTGCCTATATCTCTATTCTAGTTTACCCTCCACACAGCCTCCAGAGTGATCTTCCTAAAGCAAAACTTTAAATGGCCTTTCAATCTCCACAAGATACAGTGCAAACCCCACAGTGTGGCATGCGAGTCCTCCTCAGTCCAGCCCCAGGATGTGCTCCAACCTTGTGTTTTACATCAGAGATGGCACTTCTGGGAAAGGGAGGCATTGGAGCAGACTTGGGAGTTCCAGGATGATGGGAATTTTGAAGAATCTCTTTGAAACTTGAGATAGTCAATTAGGAATGAATAAATAGGCTGCCTGAGGCTGGAAAATCTAGCCGAGGCTTTCAGTAAAGGCCAGTCAACACGATAATGTGACCATAGCCGACAATGCTTAGAGGATTGGGAATAGAACAAACAATTTTAAAAATTAATTCTGTAATATCCTGATTTCCTAGGAGGACACAAGAAGGGTCAGTAGTCTCGGGGTTATAAAGCCTAGGAAGCTGCGGTCAAAACAATGTATTCTTTGGAGTCCAGACTCTTGGAGGCATTCCAGTTCTGGTTGATGTCGAGGATTAAGGTGTGCCATACACGCATGCAAGTCCCTGAAGTAGAGGAGAGAGTATAGTCCGAAAAGTTAATGAATTCAGTTCAAAGTGTTGGAGATATAATTACAGTAGATATTTGGGAGAGTAGGGGCAGAAGGAAGAATGGTGTTAGGAAAGACTTGAAGTAAAAAAAAATAATCCTGTTTTATTTAAATGACTCAGCTAACAAAGAACTTAGAGGTCGGTTGTGTTGTAAGGAAGGAGGGAGAAAGGTATAACTGTACTGGGAGGCTTTAATGCTGGACTGAAGGTTTGAAGAGGGGTGGAATCAGGGCAGAACACCGCTAGCTGAGGACGTGGCTCCACAGGCCTCCGTTTTCTTATTTGCGAACCACGAGGGTCAGAGTAGCTGATCGAGTGTTCGTTGTTAAATGCTTTGTCAAAATGAAATTTTGAGAGGAAGCTGAGTGTATCAGGTAAAGCAGATGCAAGTAGAGCTTCTCCAAGTGTGGTCCACAGACGAGCACTTTCAGCATCACCTGGGAGCTTGTTAAACATACACTTTCTTGGGTCCTGCCTCAAAGTCACTCGATCTGAACTTCTATTGATGGGGCCCAGAAACCTGTATTTTAACAAGCCTTCCGAGCCCTTCTGAAACATGTTCAACTTTGAGAAGCACAGCTACAGAGTGTATATCATCTCTGAGATCCTTTTTGGTCCTAAAATCCAACACCTTCAATATACTTTACACAAAGCCAGAAAGCTATAAAGTTTTTCGATGATGGCATTCAGTGATCAAATTGGTGTTTGTGTAAGGTGAATTTTGTGAATGAAAGGAGAAACGGAACAATGGGAGGAGCAGTACTAGTTTGAAGGACTTCACCTTAGTTCAGGTGAGGAAGACGGGGCCTCAGAACAGGCAAATGGCAATATGAGGCATCCAGGAGTAAAAACTCCTTCTGAAATCAGTCCTAACCTGACTCTGGGATGTTGCAAAACAAGTTCAGCAGATTTAATCTCTAGGAAAATCTCTAACTGTCCTCTGAAACAGGATTGCTATTAATGGTATTTTTAATAAAATACGTAGCTTATTTTTCTAGATGATCAAGTAAATTGAGTCATTTCCATGTAACAACATAACAATTATATTAATCTACTTATCTCGTTTGACATAATTGACTCAATTGATCCCTACTAGGTTTCTTAAAGCGAGATTCTTTTGTGATATGTGGAAAACATCCTTAACTGTGTACATTGAAAAGAGTAATGGGCACAGTGTCAACCTGAAGGAGGAAACAGCAACTCTACGTGGCAATGGCTCTCTCGCACATGCTGTTCCGACCTCCTGGATTTCTCATTACCCATCCTGCACCACGAGGGGAGTGCTACACCATTCGCCTTTACCTGGGAATGTGGATTTTAAAGCAGCATATTCAGACTTTCTACTCTTTAATGATTTAATTTATCAACTTTCTTGAGCGCTTACTATGGTCTAGCCATCAGGTTTGGTGCTGGAAAAGAAAGATGAGAAAAAAAGAACTCTACAGTCAAGCTGGTTCAAAAGAAAGGAATCTTGGTTAGGTTATAATAGGGTATGCATGGACCACCGAGCACAGCGACCACACCCACCCAAATCAGCTGTGGGTGGTTAAGAAAGGCTTGAAAGAACACTTCCTTGAAATTGCAATATATTTTAAATATATAACTTTGAGAAACAGTGAAACATCTTTGGGAACCAGGATCGACTAGATTTATTTCTGGTTGGTGACGTTGTATTGACACACTGTATCTCCAAGTTTGTTTCAGACTAAATGAGCATTTCCTACTTTTTAGTTCTAGATGTTTTTCATTGGGAGATGAAATGATTAGTTACACATTTTGGTTTTATTGTTTCTTTTTGAGTGGGGCCTGTGAATATGTTGGCATATGTTTCTATGCTACTTTCTTAACGTGAACAGTCATGTTAGAAAAAATGTTTGAGAAAATCTTGTACCTTCAGAAACTCAACTACCGAAGGTCATAGGTCAAATTATTGTATAGTAAAACGCCATAGCAGCTTTAGACAGACAACTTGGCTTGTATTGTCATTTCCTGTAATGAGTGAGCAGGGAACTATTTGGATGACAGGCTGATTACCTTAGGAATGGAATAATTTCCCAAACTGTGGGTCAGGAGCTGACCTTTTCTTTTTATTTATTTATTTTATTTTCAAACAAGTGGGATCTTGCTGTATCCTCTCCATTTTACTGATCATGTGAAAAATGAGCTTAAAGTGACTATAGTTCTACTTAGTGAATTAATTTTCATATCACTTCTCATCGTTAACCTAATAAGAGCTGCTCAGTTGTTCAAAATGCAGCTTGGTCTATGGTTTTTATTATGTGTTTTACAAAATGAGCTTTGAGTATCTTGGAGTCTTTTTTCTTTTCCCATATGTATTCTGACCTTCAAAGGTCACTGTGTTTGGAAAGGATGAGACCATGATCTCACCCACTGGTATGGTTTGTAATCATTTTAGTTTTAAGGAACCACAAGCTCATCTTCAGGCTGTGTATACAGCTTAGACCATATTAGTTGAAATTATCATGCTTGTTAGAAATGCCCACACACAAAGTGCAACCAGATGTATCGTATAGAAAAATATCCAAGCCAATTATTTTACATAGAGAGAAATGCTGCAGAAAATTCATCCAAGTAGCCCTTTTCAATTCATCCATTTTCAAAATGTTCTCTCTAAACTCTAGCAGTACCGAATGCACCTGTTCCTGGGCTTTTGTTCAAAATAATGTTTGGGCCTGAGGGAGCTGATTTGTGGCACAAAAGGTCTTTAGATGAGCAGAGGCCCAGAAAATTTCCTTAGCTCCATAATTGAACTGAATTCTCTCCCAAGTTGAGTAAGAGAAGAAGCAGAAAAAGTGACTTCTTCCCCACGTAGTGCCAGGTGCGTTATAAATAAAACAGCAAGTTTCTTTAAATCTTTCTTAAGATAATGGAACAATAGTTGAGGTTAGGGTTATTATCACAGAGCTCAGATATGGACAGGACTTAATGTTGCTTTTAAAAGAATTAAATTGCAGGCTGCAGACATAAGTACAGTGTGCTGTTAAAACTTTGCAGATACCTGAGTGTTGCCCATAAGGAGACTTGCTGGCTGAGACGACTGATAGATGGGATAATGGAGCCTTTAATAGCTCTATTGCTAAATCCTTCCCATCCCCGGTTTGTAGTGACTGAAAGTAGTATAGACCTTCAGATAGAAAATTGATCCTCTGCGATGTGAATATCCTCTTCTCCCCCAAGCTCTCTTTCTAGCTGTCTGTCTTTAAACAAACAAACAAAATCTGTCCTTTTCTCTATTTTCCTGTCTTGGACTTTTAATGGTTCCTCTTACCGTTTTAGGGTTTTGCTTGCTTTAATTAGAAAGCCAGTCAACAGTACACAGTCACCCTGTACCCCTAGATTGCCTTCTTTGTACCTGGGGAATTTGAGAAAATGATGGTTTTCTTCTTTTTTTTTTTTTCATCTTTTTTAAGACTTAAGAGGTATCTGTTGTCATTTCCTCATGGTGAGTATCCATGCTTTCACTCAAAAAATGCCTTCTTAGGTGTCAGCCCTTGCAGTAGTATTATTCTAGTTCAAATTGGGCGGAAGTCATTGTCCTTGGAAATCGACCTGGAAAAAGCCTTTCTTGCAGAAAAGTAGTACTGTTTACTGATGGTAAAAGCCTGCGTTGCCGCAAAGTAGGCTCCTTTCTTGCAGCCCTGGGACCCATCCTCCAGGTCAAAGCCTTCGTGACCCATGGCCGTTTTCTCCACAGAGGCCTTGGGTGGTGGAGATCTATAAGGCTTCCCTTGGCTGCCATTAGCCTACAGCACAGGGGTATGGCTTGTTTGTAGAGCTGTCCCTTTATTTTCAGTGCAGCTGCTGCTTGTGATGGGGTTCGGAAATAGATCCAAACACTAGTTGGGGAAGAAGAGATGAAGGCAGATAATATGCTAGGACCAAAACGTGTATTTATAAAAACTTTATGAGGGAAATTGGTATGCTCTGCATATTTTTCAGCCATTACTCATGTCATTAGTAGCAATTAAGCTTTTCAACATTCAGCACCCACAAGAGTTCAATCGATAACTAAGTATAGTGTATGATGGGGTAGAGGTAAAGGGCTGGGAGGGCGGGCCCGATAAACAAAAGTTAACTTTGTTTTCACTAAAAATTATTAATGATCCTACTATAGAAAATACTTGCCAGTGTTAGCGCAATGGCCACTTTTAAACAGAGTAAACAATTTATACTCTTCATGTGATTCAGTGCCATAAAAATTATTTTAACCCTCTACCAGATCTTTAAATTACCATTTTTATATTAGAATAAGGAATTTATATTAGCATTACAGCATATTGGAAATGCTAAAATAAGGATTCTAAATCTCAAAGGGATAGAAGTATTCTTTTTATTGCTCTCATCATTCTCATTATCTTCATCATAGGTTTTCATCCAAAGCCCACACTTTTTTCATTCTATTTTTATTTCTTATATATGCCCTCGAACATCTGTGGAAATTTGAAAAACTCTTTATTATTCATAATTTAAGTAGGAAATCCACTTGAAATTATCATTTGTAAGGATATTACATATTGTATATTTTTGAATATATACAAGTACACACACGTGCTTACATGCTATTATCTATATGAAGAAAAATCAGAATATTTAAAAATTATCAAATATTTTGTATAAATGTTGATAAAGCAGTAATGAATTTCATTTCATAAGTGACACATACACTTTTATATTAAACTCAAAGTTTTATATCACCTAGTTCTCCTTAGTACTGAAACTTTGTATTCTGTATTTTTATTTTTGTTCTTTCTTTAGTCTATTAGCTATTAATAGTTTTGGTTTTCTACTTTAATTTTTTGAATTGTCTACTTCTATATTGGAAAAATAAGAATGATTTTATTTAATTGAGGGAAACGCTTAACTTAGTGAAACACAATAAGGAAGATTTTTTTTATATTTTGTTTTACACAAATAAGTGATAACAAGACTGTGTAGTTTTCCCAAGCTTTGTATGATTTTTTTATATAGTATAAATAATATCTCTTTATCATCATGATAAAGACCAGTAATCTGAAGTCATTTACAAAAGCAACATGCATAGTTTTTACCTGGGCTTTAAACATCAGCCATGAAGAAATTCACAGATCATGGTCCTCCAGTGTACTGTGTGATGGATAATTATGTATTGTTTCATCTTCAATTGCTATCATTATGGCCTTGGTAACCTGGGTGATACATATACTTGAAAGGTCATTGCTTGTCACCAGTTTCATCACGAACAAGGCCAGGTTTATTTGCAATTTGCACCCTTAAAACAGAACTATTGTCTTGTTGTATGTTGAATCTCCAGAAGTATTCCAATTATCCTTTACCCAGGTGTTTCCCTATATAAATGTTACTTTGTTGTTGTAGTCATTGATGCTTTTTTCTTTGAAAACTGTGCATTTCTCTCTGTGGATACAAATTATCTCTTTCTTCATTTCTGTCAATGTTTTTGTAATTTTGGACTCAGTACATTATTCTGTTTCTGCCATGTAGGGATGGAAAACCACAGTATTTAAAAGTCAGGATTGTCGCTTGTCGTTCTGTTCCCACAATTTACATTTTTATGAGGTCTTCATTGAAATCATGAATCAGGTTATTTTTGATTCTGGCCAAGTATAAAACTTTCCAGATGAACTTATTTATATGTTGCTTTAAGCTGGTCATGTGTATACAATCTTTCTTGAAATCTGTGGCCCAATAAAGTTTCATCTTAAAGATAAGAGTGATTCTTTTTAATAACCTACCCTTTTGTATGCTCTGAAAAGACAAATGGAGTGAAATATTAATGTAAGCCTGAGGTTCGTATTTCATCATAGTGAGCATGATAGTATGAAATATGTCAGTTTGCTGATACCAAGCTCATTCACTCATTTTAAGTTTTCAGATCCCATCTGATGATAATTTCATTGTTGGAGTTCATCAAGATCCAACTAGATCTTGCTGCTGATAAGGCTGGAGGTGAAGAGTGTCAGAAAATATACAGTTGAGGAAACAAAAGCCCTTCAACATTTCTTCTCTGTCAGAATCAAATTCTGGGGAAAACATCTTAAAAATACACCTGAAATTTCTACAAGACCTTGCATTTTCTTTTCATATCTCCACAAGCAGTGTGTCACAGAACAGCATGAGCTAACAAAGCCAGTTACTAAATCTTCCTGCAGAATGCCAGATCTTTCAAGACTGCTTGACACATGTATATAGCTTATTCTGAGTGAAAAGGAAAGGAAAAGGAGGTTATTTTTTGAGGGCGTAAAGGAAATTGTGTAGTATTTTCTTGCTTAGCTTTCCCTCTCTCCAGTGGCTTCTCTCAGGCTGCCCACGGCTCACCATAACACTAGAATGGCTCAGTTTTTTGTTTGGCCAGCCTCGACAAGTGTAATGAAGAAAATGTCTGTCTTCTTTAATGTAGTTGATGAACACTTGGTTGATGCTTTGTTTGCATAAGCAAAACTCACCCAGAGAAGTGTTTTCCTTGCTGAAGGCACCACTGATGTGTTATTTTACCGGTGTTGCGGAGTGGGTCTCCTAACATACATTCGTTCCAATGTGTGTGGTTATAAACATCCACTAGTAGAGACTGGGGTATTGTAAAGCCTAATCTCTTCACATGTTATTTTTGTATCGGGATATTTTTAATATGTTCACTGACTGTGCCCATAGGCTTTGAAATTTTTGTCCTGTATACTGCCGTATTATTTGTTGCTTACCAACAAATAAGATAATGCTGCCCAGGCAGGAGGAGAACAATAGAGATGCTTTTTTCCTGTTCACACAAAAGCCAACCACAGGAGCCATTGTTTTAAGTAACAAGCCCACATATTATCTTGCAGCTCTCCAAATGAATGTTAAGACTATTATTTTAGTGAATTATTATTGAGTCAAAGTCTGCCATTGGCTTTCATCTCTAAAAGAAGATCAATAACTTCTTTTTAACAGACATTCTTGACTCAGAATTTGCCTGTTGCACAATGTTGCATAACACCAAGAGGAACAGAGGTTAGCATGCACCAAAAAGATTACTTAAGACTGTATGCCACTGATGCTATGATAAACCATTGTTGGATGTGGATAAAGTAAGAGGCATTGTTGTCTATTTTGACTAGAGCTACTTTTATTTCAAAGGGCCAGATCTAGAAAGTGAGCTAAAGCTTGTCAGTGAGAAGCCGGAGTATCCACAGAGGCTTGATCTACGCAGCACAGCATACGCATTCAATACGTGGTTTGGGCGAGAAGCAGCAACCAGCAGATGACCTCCTGACCAAAGTGTTTAGCCAGAGGGATTGAACATTTCTCTATAGGATATAATTAACCTAAGTAAAAATGCCATTTCCTATTCACTAAGGCAAAACGTCTTATCTCATAACCAATTCAAGTAGCTATTAGCTTTCAGGTTTATTCTTTTGATGAGCATTTCTGTTCCCCATTTGGCTACCATGTGTGGACTGGAGGAGATCTGTACATGGCTAACAGTGCCTACTTCCAACTAATCGTGGTTCATAATTTAACTGTCATTCTTTAGGAAAAGGGGGACCAGCCTATACTGTATCCTACTGCCAGATTAAAATAAATAATTCCGAAAACATTCACTAGGATGGCTAACTTTCAAGTGTACATCCGTGAACTTTCCCACTTTTGTGAATTATTGTAGCAATTTATTTATGTATTTGTTTGTTTGTTTGACATTGACTTCTGTTTTTCTGAGCAGCTCTACTCCCCTATTTGATGTAAACTGGCATCTAATGTCAGTAGTTGCCAGACCGCATTAGGAGTTTAGAAAGGTTGACCTCTCAATTTTAAACCATTCTAAATCCATAATCAGAATTTAAAATGATTGAGTGGGGGGGGTTCCTAAAAGCAATTAGATGTCCCTTTTTTTCAAACTCGAGAAAATTGTACTTGCGTTTTTAAAATTTTCACGGAATTTACAAAATGTTTCTAAGTCAATCAGTGAGAATCTCCATAATTCCTTTCTCATTAACTATTTTGCACTTTCTCCTGCAGCCTAACTCCAGACCGGCGGCGCAGAGCGGCAGGCACTCGGTGTCCGTGGAGGTGCAGATGCAGCGCCAGCGGCAGGAGGAGCGCGAGAGCTTCCCGCAGGCCCAGCGCCAGTACAGCTCTCTGCCCCGGTATGAGCGTGCACCGCCCCCACCCACCCCCGCCCCGCC